TATCAGCTATTACGTTTCCCGTGTTTTTAAGCTGCTTGATTTCGGTAGTCAAATTTTGAATTTGTATTTCCCCTTGTAAGGTTTTTGTTTCTAATTGACGGGTGTGTATAGAGGCTTTCGTGTATTGAGTTTGTAATTGTAGGACCTCTCGTTGAAGCGCGCGTGTCTGTAGTTGGGCTCGTTGCCCTCTTGCCCGTAGTTTAGCTCTGTGTATAGTAGCGTTTGTACGCTGATTTTGCAACACCAACACTTGTTTAGTAACTTTTACGTGCTCGGTTTGAAGATGGTGAACTTGTCTCTTTAACTGATCTATTTCGTTAAGTACACGGGTCTCTCCGTATTTTAGTTGCTGGTTCAAAGTTGATAGACTCCTGTTTGTATGTACCTCTGCACTAGCACAACGCGACTTGTTTGATTCCACTTCCTCACGTATGTCAGAGAGCTCTGTTTTCACCACCTCTTTTTCACGTACATCATTACAGGTGTTTAACAGATGTGTGTTTTCTTGCAAAGTATTCACCTTGTTTGGTGCATCAGGAGCAGCAGTAGTATGTCCAGATATTTGCTCAAAGTATTCCTCACGGTCCGGGAATGGTGATCCAGCGTTTAATTCATCTTGATAGTTGTTTGATATACCTTCATCTCCTATAATGGCCTCAATGTCCAGTGTTGTAAAATCCAATATGTTGAAATCCTGGTTTACCGAGGGCTGATTCTCTGTGTCTTCGTCACCCTCTGATGAGCTAAAAAATAGTGAGAAGAAAATTATAACCTCTATCATTATAAAATTATAATATGTAACTCACCTTTTATCAGCATCATCATCATCCCCGTGATTATGTATTTTGTGTCCGTTGCGGCGTGATAGAATTGCTCTAGAAAAAAAGATTTACACCGTTCATAAAGCTTGTTATATAAAATTAGTATATGTACGGACTTACGGAGCTAGACTTGCGTTGCGTTGATTTACGTGTCTTAATTTATACATCAAGGGCATTGACTTGGTCTTAGTTTTACCTGTGCTGTATAAAATGAAATAAAGTATTAAGCATCTGGTTAAGACCTTAAGTTAAATTAGATCTTACCATATTTCCTCCGTTGGTTGTAGACCTCTCGTAACTTTTGGTGATGGGGTTAAATCTTCATCGGTGTCATAATGTGTCAATAAACGACCCTTTCCTAGAGATAAACTAATTAAAACATTTAATATGAATACTGAAAAAAAATGGTATATTACCTGTAATAGACATATTGTATAACCTTCCCGTAGACAGCCGTAATGCGTTTGAACCATTGAAAACTTCTTAGAGGGCGGGGGCTCACCTTAGACCTCCCACCCTTCATCCTCCCCTCATGTTTGTATAGGTTGGCAGGTCTGGGGCCGGTCCCCGTGTAGATTAATTAGTTATTGACGTGTCTTCACCATCACTGTTTGTTTTAGAATAAGCTCGGTGTGAGCCAGACATGTGCTACGATAAACGCTGATCAATAAATCACTTTAGATAACTGTGAAGCACCAGGCAGAGGCTAACTCATTACACATTCAAAATGACACCTCTTTGAAAAAATACAGTGCAGTAACACTTTTTCACCACTTGCTCAATAGCGGTGCCTCTATTCTGGGGGGAGTTCAGGGTGCAGTACCACCTTTTCACCACTTGCTCAATACTGGTACCTTATATATCTACTCACGCTGCTCCATACCCCCGTGCTTACGGCCATACCACCTTGAGAATGCCCGATCTCGTCTGATTTCGAAAGCTAGGCAATGTCAGGCCTGGTTAGTACTTGGATGGGAGACCGCCTGCAAACGGCTCATGACCCCCCCAGGTACCTATCCTGAGATCGCTCAACCTTAGGATCAGCTTGATCTTAGTTATGTTTCGAGGTTTGTGGTTCGAGCCTAGGTCTTGCCATTTTTTGATTTATGTAGAATGTAAAGCAAAGGAAGGTTTCTCACCCATCATCTGTACTTCTTAGCAAGTTTTAGCAAGGGAAAACTTGCTAAGAAGTACAGATGATGGGTGAGAAACCTTCCTTTGCTTTGACTAATCCCTGTACGACTGAGGGCTTACACAAACTTATGTAGAATGTACTTTTTATTGCTCTTAGTTGCGTCTTGAGGTTTGTGGTTCGAGCCCACGTCCACCCGTTTTTATATTTATGTAGATTTTACCATTTATTGCTGATTATCTTGATAATTTAGTTTACATTTGTGTTTGGCAATCAAATAGACTTTAATACTTTCTCATGAATCATGGCATGAATTGTTCAAAGCACCCCCTGCAGAGTTCTTACCTTGTGGAGCACGTTCATGTCACACTCCGTAATGCTGTAGAATAACACATTCATCTAAACAGACTTCAGCTTTATCTGCTTTGTCTGTGTATGTATTGTATGTGAACAGATGTGTAGTATTCTTTTTTTTGTATTTTATACTGTAAATGTACATATTCACAAATATGTATATTCCTGAGCATCTACTTCCAGATTATTCTATTCTCTCAATAAAGTATAAGTCTAAAGGCTGTAAATTAAGCGTATTTTTAGAATGTATACAATTGTATTGACTTTTATAGTAGTAAAGCACAACCAGGGACAGGAGTTGTGAATTAGCATCTGTTATAAACTATATTCATCACATTAGCTGCAAGCTTTGTTTATGACTGTGTCTGCATTGTCCCTGTCAAATAATGCATAAATAATATTGAAAGAGCATCGAGACTTCATTTTAAAAATTTAATAAATATCAGGCAAATCCAAAGCACATAATACGTTGTATAGCTTTCAAAACACAAATCAGAGAATATCATTGTGCTTGTGCTTAAAGTGTTAAAAACACAGAACCATTGGTCCATAAGGAGTAGACACAAATGTCATACATGTAGTAGAATGTTAAAGTGTCCTGGATCATCACAGTCCTTTTTGTTAGACACTAACTGTCCAATAGACCCTCCTGCATAAAAAGAAAAACTCTAAAACCCAGTGGGAGAAAAGTGAGAAACCTCTGGGAGACCAGATATTGAGAACAGGATCCGCTCCACATGGACGGACGGGCTATAGATCCAGGATTTAAACTACAGAATGAGGACCAAGGCCCCGCGGAGCAGGACTCGGGCTGCAGAACGAGGACTGAGGCAGCTCCCAGGCAGGGAGTGGGTTGCAGCCTACGAGCCTACGCAGTTGCAAATGGCGCTGTAATCATTTTGCCCCTGGAGCTCGGGCCTGGGGGCGAGCTCAACAACAGCGCGAGTTGTTGGCCCAGTCCCAATACCCACACTGCACCCTACACACCTCTACGAAGTGTGCATTTGTTCGAAGTGCACACCAGGGTTGGAGTGCGCAGGTTACAAGTGTGCAAAAAAGGCAGAATTGGGACAGTGCACACTGAGTGCAGGTTACGTCATCGACTCGTCTATAGATGGTCATTTTCAGACCTAAACTTTATAAACATTAAAGGTAATCTTGTCTGACCCTTTGGGAAACAAAATGAATTGCTTCACACACGTTAAAATACATGTATATTAGTTGTTTTTAATTAGAGATAGCTGTATAATTTTAAGTTAAATGTGGGTAACTAACTATCTGGTCAGTTTTTATACATTCTAAGATTATTGTACTAAGTGTAAAGTTTAAATTGAATGTTATATAAACGCTTGTTTTAAAAAGTTATTAAATTGTTAAAACACAATGTCCGTAATTCTTCTTCAGACGTTTATGCTTCTTTCCAAGTAACATAGCAAAACTTATTTACACACATACAGCATATATATTTCAAAATTTATATTTAAATGCATTTTCCCGACGTTTTGGTGTGTACCGCAAAGAATTATGGGCAATATCCTTCGCCAGAGTGTGCATAGATGCAGGCTACGGCGAAGTGTGGATCAGGGGCGCAAAGGGGGCGGGGCCAAAGACCTCCCTGGAGAATTGGGACACCCTACGCACTCGCACCCTTTATCGGGAACGCGCAAATGAGGGGCGCAAGGGTGGAAGTGCGAGTATTGGGACGGGGCAGTTGTCGTGTAGTTGAGTTGAGTTGAGTGTAGCTTGCAGTTGTTTCTGTCTCTCACCACTCATCATTTCCGGTAGCATATCAAACAAAATAATGGAAGTTGTTTTAGTAGTGTTTGTTTCCACTGGATAGCAAAGAAATGGGTGAATATTTCATTTAGAATGTTTTGATTTTCCAATTTAATTTAGAAAATGGAAATACAATAAAACAACCACGTAATTTGTTTTTCTGATTTTGTTTTGAAACGGAATAAGTAATGATCGAAGGGTACACGGATTTAAAATATTCACCCATTTCTTTGCTCTGCAGTGGAAACAAACACTACTAAAACAACTTCCAGGAACCATGGAGGATATGGTCCTCCATGGTTCCTTCTTCTAACTTGAGATGACATGGTAAAAGCAACAATATCAGTAGCTCATGTGAAACAAAAACGCGTTTCTTGCATCCTTTTTGTCCCTTATCCACCACTGTATTTCAAGATGGCGCATTTACATGGAGAGTACTCCTCTCTCATGGACACTTATTAGTTCAATTCTAAGCCTATGAATACAATTCAAAAATCATGATTGAGGTAAATATTCCTAAAAAGGTCACATTTGTTATTAGTTAACATGTTTTTGCATATGGAGCAGCTGTAAAAATTACACAGGGTGGCTTTAAGTTTTGAAAGTGTTATTGAGCACTTAGCTATTGAGTCCTATTTTCTACACATTTGTATTGTCATTGGTAACATTCATAAATACAACTACAACTTAACAAAACATAACCTCATGAGAAGAAAAAGTTACCAAACTCAATTTGGATTTGATTCTACTACATGTTATAGCTCATATCTTGGGATAGAATAGGGATAGAGGACTGACATTTGGTAAACAACCATTAAAGGCATGGCTCTATCACTGCACCAAACGTCATTCAAATCAGAGCAGATCCATTTGATATGGAATTACCCACTTGAGAAAAAACTACCACTGACCAAAATATGTTCTCTACCAACAGCTCCCCCAGCTCCAAACCAGGACAGAGCAATGAGTCGTGTGGAGACCAGTCCATGATCATAAGGGATGACTTCAAACCCCAAGCGTAAGATACAAACTTATGGATGATATATAAAGATCAAAACATTGGGCATACAGAATATTGTGTGATTAAAAGAGAGAATTTTTTCAGCTTTTTAGTGAAATAAACTTTTGTTTTAAGGTTCTCTCCTACACCCCACACAACTGCAGCTACAATACACAGTGAACTTTCTGCAGACAAAGACTACAAATTAAGAACACCCCATGATCCAATGTAAGTCAAAACACTTTCAAGTTCCCTTTGGTTTTCATTTAGTTTGCTGTCTTGACAAACGTCAGTCTGATCACAGTGAGGAGCAACGGGATTTCGCTCAAAACATTCAGGCCGAGTTGGAGTGTGAATTAAAGGTCTGTAAGAGGACCACAATGAGGGTCATGCTTTGGACAGAATAACTTTGTTCTTGTTTTCAGTCTCAGTGGCTCCAAGATGCAGTTTCATCAAAGGTTAAAAGTGAATTGAGAAACTACAACAAAGCTCTCAGTTCAGGGTCTTGTCAAATCCAAATGAATGAGGGCCAGCTATTACATGATTCTATCCGGAATTTAACAACACATGTCTTGAGAGAGAAGAGTGAGCGGTTGGCTGACTATTTCAAGAAGGGTATGTTTTCCATCTTTTCAAAACCCAACATATGGCTAATAACTATAAAATGCTCTAAATCATCTATGTTGGACCTGATTTGAATTACATTTTACTACTTGGAGAGAAATAGAGAACAATAATTAAAATATTCTATATGTAATTTCTGTCCCAATGTCCATTGAACCATTACTTGTTGTAAAGCGCAACTATTTTTCAATTAAAATGTCATGGCTGTTAGCATGCTCCTTTTTTGCTTATTACAGTGTTCTCTGACTCTACCGGTGAATTCAGTAAAAGACTGAAAGCAAGACTCAAGCAGAAGTACACATGTCTTTTTGAGGGTATTCCACAAGCAGGGAAGCCCTCTAATCTGGATGAAATCTACACAGAGCTCTACGTCACTGAGGGAGATACCTCTGACTACAACAACAGACATGACATCACACACATCGAAGCAGCTCCAAGACATAAAGTGGAAGAAACTATCACTTGTCAAGATATTTTCACAGGACAATCTGACAGCGGTAGACCAATGAGAACAGTTATGACCAAAGGCGTGGCTGGCATTGGGAAAACCATTTTGACTCAGAGGTTCAGTCTGGACTGGGCTGAAGGCAGAGCTAATCAGGACATTCAACTGCTTTTGCCATTCACCTTCAGAGAGCTCAATGTTATCAGAGACAAAAATATGAGTCTGGTGCAACTCATTCAACACTTCTTTCCTGAAACCGGAGAAGCGCTCATAAACAATGTAGAAGATTTTAAGGTTGCTATAATTCTTGATGGCTTGGATGAGTTTCGTGCGCCTCTTGACTTCAAGACAAATGTTCTGATTGATGAAAAGCAGCCTGCTGGAGTTAGTATACTCCTGGTTAATCTCATCCGAGGAAACCTGCTTCCATCTGCCTGGCTGTGGATAACCACACGCCCCGCAGCAGCCAATCAAGTCCCTGCTGAGTGCATTTCCAGGGTAACAGTAGTGCGAGGATTCAGGGATTCAGAGAAAGTTCAGTACTTCCTCAAGAGATTTCCAAAGAAAAGGCAGGCCAGAGCCATAATCGATCACATCCGTCTGTCGAGAAGTCTCCACATTATGTGCAGCATTCCAGTGTTCTGCTGGATCACTGCCACTGTTTTGGAAAACATTATGAAAACAAAACATGATGTACTATTGCCCAAAACCTTAACAGAAATGTACATTCACTTCCTTGTTGTTCAAGTCAAAATAAAGCATAAAAAATATGACATATCGGAGACAGATTCACATTGGAGTCAGAAGAGTACAAGGATGATTAAGTGTTTGGCCAAACTTGCATTTGAGCAGCTTCAGGAAGGAAACATAATTTTCTACGAATCCGATCTGTCTGAAAATGGTCTTGATGTTGATGAAGCAGCTGTGGATTCAGGTGTCTTCACGAAGATTTGTAAAGACACAGTTCTGTGCAATGATCAGGTGTTCTGCTTTGTTCATCTGAGTGTGCAGGAGTTCCTGGCTGCTCTTCACGTTCACATCACATTTAATGAGACTGAGGTCAGCGTGCTCTCAAAGATGGCTGGATTGTCAGAGACGCACTTCTACTACTCAGCTGTGGACCTGGCCTTAAAGAGTCCAAATGGACACCTCGACCTGTTCATTCGTTTTTTCCTAGGGCTGTCGCTGACAACTAATCAGAACCTGCTCAGAGGATTTCTAATACAAAAGCAGGATATGGGAGTCCACAATAAAATCATTACTTACATCAAGCAAAAAGTCTCTGAGAGTGGTACTACAGAGAGAAGTATCAACCTGTTTCACTGTCTGAATGAGCTGAAAGACAGCTCTCTGGTGACGCAGATTCAACAGCTGATGTCCTCTGGGAGTTTGTGTGCTCAGAACCTTTCGCAAGACCAGTGGTCAGCTTTGGCCTTCATCCTGCTTTCCTCAAACCAAGTTCTGGAGGAGTTTGATCTGAGAAGATACTCCGCCTCAGAGGAGGTGCTTCTGCGGCTGCTGCCAGTGGTCAGAGTCAGCACTAAGGCTATGTAAGCATATTCATATAATAACATACATAATACTTTACAAAAAACTATTCTGAAGAACTGTAATTTTGTTTGTGCGTTTACTTATGAGGGTGCAATTTTGTTTGTGCATGTATTCATTCATTTGGTCATGTGACCCAAATAAGCATAATTACACAATACTGTACATACAGTAGGCCTACAGTCCTGCTGAAATACCACTGCCATTGTCATAACAACTAACTATTAGCCAACAATAATGAATTACTCTCTCACCCTTTCCATCTTCAGAGTCAATGCAAGTCCAATGACAGAGAGAAGTTGTACCTCTCTGTCCTCCGTCCTGTTTTGCCCATCAAGCTGTTTACAAGAACTAGACCTCAGTAACAATGTTCTGACAGATCCAATGGTGGAGTTACTGTTTCAAGGACTGAACACTTCACCCTGTACTCTGGAAATTCTTTGGTAATGTTTTACATTTGTATTGTATGCCTGTATAAACCTTCTCTCTTGAAATGTGTCCTCTTTTTGTAGTCTACGCAACTGCAGTTTGTCTACGAGGAGCTGTGAAGTCCTTGCCCCTGTTCTGACGTCTCCATCTTTGAGCTTAGTAGAGCTGGACCTCACAAACAATGATCTGATGGATTCTGGAGTTGGCCTGCTCAGTGAAGAGCTGAGGAAACCACAATGCCATCTGGAAAAACTCATGTTAGTAGCCTAGATAGAATAAAATTGCCACAACAACAAATTGCAGTCACATTAAGGACAATAAACACTAAACAAATTCAGGAATATATTTTAGAGAAGTTAAATGTCATGAGTTGGCGTCTGTTTCATATACAAAATGCTGCATCAGCGCCTTCCTATGTTCCCTCAAAAAAAAAAAGTTATATGTATTTTTTGTTGTTAATGTTTTTTCACTTTGGGAAACTTTCTCAATGTGCTTTAAATAAAGTCCTGATTTTGGTAACTGGGGCCTTGTGCACAACTATTGGAGTCATGCAAAGAGCAGACATGTCATAAGGAAATCATTCTGACCTCACAGGCGTTTAATAGGCTTAAACAAAGCAATATTGATGGACAACCATATAAAGTTTGTAATCATTATCATGTCTACTTCTTCGCAGATTATCTGGATGTATGTTGACAGAAAAAAGCAGTTCTATTTTAGCCACTGTTATGGACTTCAACCCACAACATTTGAAATTTTTAGATTTAAGCTTCAACAATCTTTCTGAAACTGGAGAAAAACTATTGACCATGAGAATTGAGGATCCAGCAAACAGACTGGAAAAACTCATGTAAAGTACACACAATAATTCCATCACTGTGTTCACTCACAATTAATGCTTATAATCTCATTCTTATTTCAGAATGGAGCCTGGTGGAGAAATATATCTAAAGCCAGGGCTAAAGAAATGCAAGTCATACTATTTATCACATTTTTCATTTGTATGAGTGAATGTCCTAAGTGTCTGCATGTTTTCAGATTCATGTCAACTCCTCCTGGACCCAACCACAGTTAACAAAATGCTGAAGATATCGGATAACCAGAAAAGCGTCATCCGTGAGGGCGATGAACAGTCCTATCCTGATACTTCTGGCAGATTTGAAAGCTGTCCTCAGGTGTTGTGTAGTCAGCCCCTGACTGGACGCTGTTACTGGGAATTGCAGTGGAAGGGCTGGGTCGATATGTCAGTCTGTTATGAGGGCATCAGAAGAAGAGGGGCAAGTGATGACTGTGTCTTTGGACTCAATTCAAAGTCCTGGAGCCTCAGTTGCTCTGATGGACCCTACTCCATCAGCCATAACAAAAGCGGAAATCCACTCCCTATCTCGGCTGTGTCATCTGCAGGAAAAGTAGCCGTGTATCTGGACTGTCTTGAAGGATGTGTGACGTTTTACAAAGTCTCTGGAGAGGAGCTAGTCCTGCTTCACACATTCAATACCATGTTCAATGAACCACTATTTATGGGCATCGGACTGTGGTCCCCCCTGTCCTCCTCCACGTTATGTGACTAGTTACTGTATTTAGTTGGTACCCAGGTGAATTATGCCTTCTAAAAGAGTTAAAAAATCCAAATGTCAATACAGTATATATTCCATAAAGACATATACAAGACATTTTGTGCATATATTGTTGGCTGAGCAGGGGCAGTTATTTTACTGTGCAACATAATATATATATTTTTTTTTTAATCATAATATGGGCCACCGTTGCATGTTACACGCAATTTTAAAGCTCCTTTTAATTTAGGCACAATTAATAATAATAATAAAGTGAATCTGTAATATCAGAATATGCGGCTTTTATTCCATCTGTATCCGTCCAAGCATAATACCAACAGAAAAATACTACCCAGACTGTAACAGCTTATATAATATATTATACTGCATGGTACCACTACAGTATACTCATACTACTATGTTACAATTAGGCATACACTTTCATCTGTAATCTTATTATCTTCGTAACAAGTGGTACAGATAGATATAGATGAATTCCTGGCATTGTACTATGAATAAAGTAAGTGTAGCTCAACTAGTCTTTTGCTCTTTTCGAGCCCATTGTACCACCCACGTTACCACGTTACTAAACCCAACTACTCGGAGAACACATAACCGGCCAAAACCACAGATCTCGTAATTGGATCATTAAAATGGCATAAATGATGGCTAGCACATTAGCATAAGCACCAACCACCAGTCTATGTGTTGAACCAAACCTACCCGACATGCCTTTAACAGAATACACCTCTTAAAGCAGTCAGACAAGCTCTATTGGCCAGTTTGACCAGTCTGTCTTAGTTTCATATTTTATCTTTTTTATCTCAATTATCCAAGCATACAACAGTATAGTTAGAGAGAATAAGAAACAACGTAACAGCATTTTAACAACAGTCTCAAATGTCACAAAGATTAGTCACACAATGACTGTCTTTCATAGTGCTTTAGCTTTTGTCGTTGTCTCTAGTTAATACAATGTTTGTGCATCCGCTGCGACTGTTTGGGCTTAAAAAGTGTGTTAAGCAAATATGGCTTGCTATGGTGCTTTATTGCGCAAACTGTGGATTTATAGAAAACTCATGGATTTCAAAAGATAAAAAAGTGACACTAAAATCCACACTAAAGAGTCTGCAAGAGCGTGGGTAGTCAATCACGGGGCCTGGCTGAAGCTTGCAATACCCTTTGATAATATGTCTTTTATAGAAAATACAAAACATGCAGTAATAGTGTTGGCGGTATATGCTCCAGCTTTAGTATTACATGGAAAGGCTCAAACATCTGGAATAAACTGGACAGTTCAATTACACAATCTAAATCAATGAGACTGTTTAGTTGGTGCTCTCACTACTATTATTCTCATTATTATTATTATCATTATTATTATTATTATTATCATGATGAATGTTTGCTCTGTATTTGTGTTGAGAAACTCAGATTTCTTTGTTTACCGTTGGGCGTGGTGAATAAATTGTCCAGCGCCGCAGCTGAGCTGTGTTGTGCGTAATGGCATGAACGGAATGCAGTGTGTCCTGAGTTATCTTTCCTCCACATCTTTCGGTTACGTCTATATTTTAGTTGGGTTTAAGACGCGATACTGCTGCTGGATTACCTCTGCCAACAGGTTATGGGCCCAGAGTATCCCAGAGTATCCCAGAGTATCCCAGAGTATCCCAGAGTATCCCAGAGTAACCCAGAGTAACCCAGAATAACCCAGAATAACGCAGATTCTACGTCATGGTGCTACGTCCCTTAGGACTTCGCTAGTGGGATATCACTCGTGACCCCCAGGTCACACGCCAGAGAGATCAAAATAATTTGCTCCAATCACCAGCGACCCTCCTCTATAAAGGCCCCTGCACAAGGCCGCACCCCCTCTTTCACTCTGGCGCCGATTGAGATCTACCACAGTACTCACTTCATTCTGAGAGATGTCTTCTGCTGTTCGTCCGAGTTCCCCTTCGCCCTCCGGCGTCGGACGTCGTCGTTGCTCGGTGTGTCGAGTCAGGCTCCAGCGCACGGACCAGCACTCCAGCTGCTTCATGTGCCTGGGCCCGGGCCATGCGGCGTTGAGCGCCAGCTGCGCCTCGTGTCTCGCTCTCCCCAGGGAGGAGAGCGAACGCAGGCGTGTGTTCATCGCCGCTGCAGCGCCCCGTCCGGACTCCTCTCAGGACGAGGAGTCTGAGACTGATTGGGCCCCACTCGACCTTCCACCCGTGCCCGCGGAGTGGGCGCGCTACCACTTGAGGGAGGAGGACGGTAACAACCCACGCTGTGCCCGCGGATGGACCCGATCGTCCATTACGCGACACGTGAGTGGCCAAAGCCCCTAGCAGCCAAGAGTACATGCACGGCATGTATTGCAGCGTGCAGGACTGGTCCTGGACCGGCGGGGTCCCGGACATAGAGGACTCAGTCCGCATGGCCCTGCAGCCCTCCGCATCCGTGTGGCCCGGCACCAGACCTCTCCTTCCCTCCGAGCGGGACAGGATGTCGTTGGCTATGCTGGACAGATGTTACGCCAATGCGGCACAGGTCGTCGCATTGGCGAATAACATGGCATTCATCACGGGGGCCCTGGATAGGTCGCTCTCCTCTGGCCAGGCGCTCAGTGGAGACACCTTATCGCAGGCGAGGACCACCTCAGCGGCGATCCTGCGCATGTGCCAGGCGCTAGCTGTGGATGGCGGCCGCTCCATGGCAGCAGCCCAAGTCGGGGCCAGGCACCTTTGGCTTGGGCTAGCTAACATCAGGGAGGCGGAGAAGAGGCAGCTGCTGGACCTGCCTGTTTCCCAGACGTCCCTCTTCGGCCCGGACATGCAGGCCCTGGTGGCTAGACTGGAGTCTGCAGCCAACGACTCGGCTAGGCTAGCGCCGCACCTAGCACCAAGGCGCGAGGCCCGCCCACCATCACGGAGCCGGGACAGAGGCAGGGAGCGTTCGCCCGGGAGGCGTTCTGACCCGTATCCACGCTCTGTGGTCCATCGTCCCCCCTCGACGAGGCCCCCGGGTCCAGACAGACCCACGGGTGGCTCGCGGGAGCAACGCACCCACCGCCGACCTCCCTATGGCAGAGGAGGTCGGGGTGGAAAGAATTCCTTCAATTAAGGCCGACCGGCATTTCATCATTACTCGTTGTCTGAGTCTCATTTGGGGGTATGTAACATGTCTAATGTGAATTCTGATTGTGTTACTTCCCGGGCACATAACGTTGCTTCGCTAGGCCTGCAGCCCCCAGAGCAGGGTGTGCAGTGCACTACGCGAGCTACGAGCTCCGGTCCTCTGATCCATACTATGCCCTCCCAGAGAGAGGTCAGGCAGAGGGATCTGGTGAGTAGTGATGTGTGTGCTTCGGCCGAACGCGTGTTAGCCCCTCTGAGCTACAAAGCTAACACGGGGTTTCCCACTCCAGGGGCTAGTCAAGAGCCAGGGGGGGGGGGGCGCAGCAGCCGAATCACGTGGGATGAGCAGACCCGTACTTATGACGTCGGGCCTGCTGGACACGTGACCGCCCCCGGCGCTCACGGTATGACGCAGGGGGCCCCCCGGCCTTTCGTCCACCCCCCCTCCCTGCTAGGAACACCAGATTCAGATTCAGATTCAGTTTATTTGCCATTTGCAGTAAAAAAAAACACATTGGAATACATTAGCAAAAGTCTCCAGTGTGCACAGACAAATACAGACATAAAACAACATTAAAAGACAAAAATAAAACAAATAAAACAGTAAACAAATGTCACTGTGAAAATTGATCGACTAAAACAGTTCAAAACAAGTGCAAATCATTAAAGTGCTCTGTTTACACTGATAACAGCTTGTGGATAAAAACTGTTAGCGTAACGAGATGTCCTGCATCTCAGAGAGCGATATCTTCTGCCAGAGGGAAGAAGCTGGAACATGGCTTTCCCAGGGTGGCCAGAAGAGTCATTGACAATCCTAAGAGCTTTGTTTAAAAGTCTGGATTTATAAAGAACCTCCAGAACAGGAAGCTCACAGCCCACAGTCCTCTTTGCAGAGCGGAGCACCTTGTTTAACGCTCTCTTTTCTTTATCTGTGATGTTTCCAAACCACACAGACACAGAACCAACAAGTAAACTCTCAATGGTGCAGCGACAAAAGTTAAGCAGAATCTTAGAGTTAGTGATAAATTCTTTAAGTTTACGCAGAAAGTAGAGACGCTGACGAGCTTTCTTAACGACTCGGTCAGTGTTTTTAACCCATTTCAGGTCGTTAGACAGAGTTAAACCCAGAAACTTGCACTCCTCTGCGATCTGCACCTGGGAGTTGTCGATTACGACAGGCAAATGAGAACTATTGCGACTGAAGTCGTAGACCAGTTCACATGTTTTCGATGCGTTCAACTGGAGGTTGTTAGTTTTACTCCACTGAACCACATTTTGTATCTCTGCTCTATAAGAGGATTCATCATTGTTACTGATGAGACCGATGATGGTGGTGTCAACAGCATATTTAATGATCAAGTTTGAGTCAGAGGAGGACACACAATCGTGAGTGTACAGGAGAGGGCGGGGCCGTGACGTCTCGTGTTCCAGCTCCCGTTCCGCCCCTCACAGACTTCTACAGCATCTGGAGGGAGCAGGGATTGCTGACGGATCCATGGCTGGAGAAAACATTGCGCAGGGGTTACGCACTGCAATTCTCCCGAAAGCCACCACCATTCCGAGGCGTACGGGCAGCACGCTCTCAGGTTCGGGGATCATTAGAGGCACTGCAAGCGGAGGTCTCCTCTCTGCTGAGTCGAGGCGCAGCAGTGGAGGTAGACCCACAGGACGCCACCAGGGGGCTGTACTCCCCTTACTTCTTGGTGCCAAAGAAGTCAGGCGGGGTGCGTCCCATTTTGGATTTGCGCGTTCTGAACGAGTGCATTTCCAAACGGCAGTTTCGGATGCTGTCCACAAAACAGCTCCTCGAGTGTGTCAGGCAGGGAGATTGGATGTCCTCCATAGACCTGACAGACGCTTACTTCCACGTGCCGATAGTTCCGGAACACAGGAGGT